CAAAAACCGGAAAAATCCGTAGACAGTTCAGTGTATAAATAATGGCCTAACAATTAGTATGAAAAACGTCAGTTAGCAATTGACTCAATGATAGGTTGTTTGTGCTGACAAGGTCATTGTATCGACCAAAAAACTTGCGAAAAGATGACTTCAAACGAGACTGTTGATATCCTTGTTTCGTCAATTTGTTTGTCAATAGCTTGCTTCGTTTTAGAAATTGTTCATACGTAGAGCATGCTCTTGCGTATCGAATCAACTGAGAGACATAAACCCCATATGGTTAAAATTTTACACATGTGCGGTAAACGTGACGAAGGAAGGGCACATCATGTCTAAATCACATTATTGGTATAAAACTAAAGCAAAATAAGAAAGCTTACATATCAATATTCTTGAAATACATATTCTTAGAAAGTTAGAAGGTTATCCCAATAAATATTTTGTCAATCCCTCGGCTTGAATAGTCGAAAATAAAAACAAATAAGAAAACTATTACTCTCATGTGGGAAAAAAGATTGTAGTACTTGTATATGCATTAAAACTAATAGTCAATATATCTTTATATATCATTTGCACGGTTCCAACACAAAGGTTTCAATTTATACCCTAAACGATTATGCACTGATTTAATTTTTCTTATTCTTGTGGATGCATTTTGTTGAAGTGTTTCAAAATGAATATGATTGTCACATTATCACATCGATGCTTATTTTTTTTAGGAAAATTCTGGTTGTCAGGACTCCTCATTAAACGCAGTAGCAAAATTGTCTATTGGAATATAACGTGTGGTGTCCTGTAGACGTGCAGTAAGATTTAAATTTTCATTTTTATCCTGGGGCCAAGGGGGGTGGGAAAAGGTTGGGTTTTTTTTTTACGGAAACTTGGCTCCCAGAGTAAAGAGATTTGGGAATTTCATTTTCATCGAGGACGGCCAAAAACAACATTATTCTTTAAGAAAAAAAATATATATCCCCTCTAGCATTTTATGCAGTAGACAAATCAATTTTCACAACATGGTTGGCTTGTCCTGTTTTTACATGTAGTATATATATCATAGAGATGCATACCTGTATTTGAATTAAGTTTTCAGAAAATTCTTTTCCATTCAGGATGCCAATTGGGGACCTAAAACTTATTTTTTTTTGACACAAAAACAATTCTTCCTAAACCTTTTTATTTTCAAACAGAAGTTAAATTTCATTTAAGTTCTTAAGTTTCTTAACTATTTCTTAAGTTTCAAACTGATAATGAATTTATTGTGTGAACTACTAACATATAAGGCCCAGTAGCTACGTGTTCACCTGAACATTCTATGCTCAATTTGATACATGTACATTTGTGTTAATTATGGAATAATTATTGTTACTTCTTCTCTAGTTTCTGTGTACCTAGGTACAAAGGAGAAAAAATTAGAGGTAAACACGCACAGTTATTACATACTATCACAATATTTAGCATCGGTAATTATTTAAATCTGATAGGCATTATAGACACTTACACTTTAAAAATTCAAAAGAACAAGTTTGCACAATGTTTCATGTCGTACTAATGTCCTCCTAACCTCAGCTTGCTGTAAATTCTGATTTTACCAGAAAGAGACAATAACACTGGTTATTACATGATAACATGCTGGTAAATATTTCTTTGTAAAATTACATAGGATTAGATACAGTGTAGGTTCAGACAGCATTCTTTATATTTATAGATATTAATGAAATGTGAAGATAGCGAACAGTGAACATTCTTAAAAGTCCATTTAAACAATACAAATTATGAGCAGAACAAACATGGACCTCTGAAAACAGAGGTGGGATCAGGTGCCATGGTGAAGTAAGCATCCCCTGTTGACTAGTCACATTCGTCGTGTGCTCCTTGTCATGATCGGGAAAACAGAAAAATCGGTATATGCAATTCAGTGTGAAAATAATGGCCTAACAATTTGTGTAAAAGGCATTTGACTTAACAACAGATTGTATCTGAAAAGAAGGTCATTGTATTGACCTAATTGAGAATTTTCAAAATGTTGAGTATAAATGAGATTGTTGATATTCTTGTATCAACAACTTATCTGTGAGTAGCCTCCCTCGTTTTATTACAAAGAACATGCTCTTGTGTATCGAATCAACTGGGAGACATACATTCCATATTCATGTGATAATAGAATATAGTTAACGATAGAAATGTTGAAGTCATCAGGTTTATCATAAATGTTAGTTGTTATTTTCCCATCAATGTCCTTTTTCAAGTAAAACATCTAAATATGAATTAAAAAAATATGAAAGAGTTATGTCAGACTCTGTGGAATGTATTGAATCTATGTGGGAATGTTTGTTTTTTAACGTCCCTTTCGAGAATTTTTCACTCATATGGAGACGCCACCACTTGCCGGTGGAGGGCTGCAGATTTAGACCTATACTCGGCACTAAGGGCCATTGAGCAGTGAGGGATCTTTTTCGTGCCAGCACCTACTGGAGGTTTTATCGGAAGGACCGGTTTCACGTCCCGCGGTGGGATTCAAACCCGCGACGTAAGGATCAACTCCTTACACCGCGACTCTAGAGCAAACGCTCTAACCACTGCGCCACGTAGGAACCAATTTAGGAATGAAACTGGATTTTGTTAATTGACAAAGCGTAGTCTTTATATCTAAATGTCGAATTGAATCCTACTGCAAAAGACTTCTTTATGTAGAAGTTTTTGAATAACTTCTGCTTCATATGAATGCAAAAACAGATCTGTTCATAACGGGCTACAATTAGTAACCACCTGAATTCCAACAGATTGTTTGAAAATCTGGTCTCCGAGAACTACATAGACATTGTCAATGAGAAACTCAAGCATCTTTTTAATATGAATCTCGGATTACGGTTAGAATGTGTTTATGCTGACGACCAATGACAATATATGCAAATTTACGAGTTCCATTTTTATTAAAGAAACAGTTGTCTATGATGTTAAAAAAAAGAGTCTGGTATTAAATAAATCATACTCTATAAGATCCAAATTTAGCCATAGAGATAAAATAATTTAATTAAAATAAAAATAGAGTAAGGAAAATTATTGCATTAATAAGTATATGAGTTTTTCATTGCTCCAATAATGCACAGGCATTAAAAAAACGTACAATAGAACATGCATATATCCACAATATTTATTTATATTTCCAGCAGACAAATAAAAACCCTTAAACAATATACGATTCAAAATTAAAATCAAACTTAGCTGCTCGGACTCATATCACTTGCTCATATAAAGCTTTCGTCAATAGTTTCTGAACAAGTTTTCCAACCAAAGGTAGACAAGCACAACAACAGTGAGAAGATATGACCGTTGGATGAACTCGTCTCTTAGTGGCTTCTTTTTTTTTTCCATCTCAGAATTTTTTACAGTCATAAAAATGTATTTATTTAATTGAAAGCATTGAAAAGGGGCTTTAATCGTTGTGTATAATTAAGGACCCTTTTTTGTTATGTTTAATGCATGTGAATTTAAGATTTAAAATTCGGAAATAAAGTGCATATTTTCCATTTGCAACTATGAAACCACTGAATTCAGTATTAATATATGCGTATTCAATTATATTCGTCTCTCAGCACAAAAGTATATTATTAATGAGGTTGGGAAGTTTACTGGTGCATTTACTAATGTTTATGATTTTGTGACAAAACGAATGATTCCGCATTTGACTGAAATGATCTTTTGACTTTGTTTTGGTGCTTTGTTAAACGAGAATAGTTTTAGTTTCACATAAATATTGATTCACGAACCAAAGTGCATAAAAATTATCAGCATTACACTATTGTCATAAATATATTCCAGCACTACGAGGGGACAGAATGTGCCTTGCAGATAAATAGAAGTTTCCAATTAAGATATTCCTTTCTACTTTAAAAAATCCAAGAAACTCTACTTTGATTGTTTTTTCTTAAAATACGCATTAATAACCATTTTATACTGAATATTATCAAAATTATACATGTAGTAGCTGTTGTTGACCACTTCTTTATGCGCTACATATAAACATATATAATATATATATATATATATATATATATATATATATATATATATATATATATATATATATATATATATATATATATATATATATATATCAGACCTACATGTATGCTCATCTTAGTAAAAGAATAAAGTTGAGTAAAAAAAAAAAAGAAATAATATTAATAATAAAATTGAGAAAAATATCAACATATCCATTCTTCAATTCAAACAAAAAAAAAAAAAATACTTGCTAAAACTACTAACTATTGATAGGAAAAATAAGATAGATTGAGAAATTGAGGGAACAAAACTTAGACTGTCCTCTGGTTGATTTTGGGTGTGTTAAGTACAGTGTATGTTTACTACTTTTACAAAGTACTTTTCCAAGACCATCGAAACTATTGGTATCCAGAAAAGACTATTACTTTCCTTTTTCTTTTTTATGTTGTGGCTCCTCAATTTAAAGGTCAAAATGACAATTATTGAATAAATTGCAAATTATGAGGTTAACTGGAGTTAGAAATTATGCCTACGACAAATTAGCATGTTACAGTAACTGACAATATCAGAAAGATTTAGATTTGGTTCTGATTTGGAGAAAATTGCTTCCAAAGTTGAAATGCAGCGAAATCTTTCCCTTTTTCATTTATAACGATTAACAATACCATATCACAATAATTCAACTGCCTGTTCGAGTTTTCACGAATACAGCTGATTGAGAGAAAAATGGGTTTAATTCGAAATCAATTTCTGCATCTTCCAGACTAAAACAACCCTAGTGTCACTCGATTTTATCAAAATAACAAATGGCTCAAACAAGTGTCATTATCAAATTATACACGGAAAATGGCCACGTTAAACCTTTTCAGTCGCAGTAGGCAGTCATTGCCAACTGTGTGGATGTCAAACTCATAAATGATATTTCACGACCATATTTAATATTTAATGGTCTTCTCTCTTCCCGTGAGTAGAATTAAGTCCGCCATGTTTAATAGTATGTCTGCGTCGAGATTACAACGACATCCGCCGTCTGCTAAGCGAGGCACGTGTCGTTGGATGAGATGGCTATCGGCTTATGGTGAAGATAGAGACCAATTTTCTCGCATCATCATTCCTTTTGACAAGGTACGTATACTATATTAGTTTTATCAATATGGCATGATATATGCATAACAATAATTTTGTTTCTTGGACTTATTAGGAAAATTTTTATTTAATATGCAAAAGGTTTCAAAATTTGAGGCATTTAATTATTGAAAGTACGGTATGAAATTTGTTTTTAAAATAATAATAGGTAGTATCAAGGACTTATTAGAAAATATGCATGTAATAGGGTTATCATTAAAGTTTACTGCTAAAAAAAATTCTTTTTTAAATGTTTGATTACTCTTAACCAAAGTAACTTTGACATACTAACACATAACTTTTCTGAGAGATATACATGTCATATATAGTCGTGGTGCTACAAGGTCCCTATGGAACTATTCCGATAACCATATCTCCTCTTTATTTTTGGTAAAATGTTCAATTATAAATTCATAAAATGAGTTTCTTAAATCAAATTGCATAAGTAATATGGGTATGATATGGATACATTACTCCGTGGAACAATTTTATGTTCAATAGATATTCAATATTGTCTTGTGAGATATGCGTAAAATTACAAACGTTATGGGTATAATTGAGAAATATTCCATTTGACCAAATTATGTCTGTATACAGTACGTTGGCTAATAAGGCATTTGTTTACCATACCAGAGTTTATTTACCATATCAGACATAGAGAGAAGTAGTTATTTTTAAAAATGCTTACCTCTACCTCCCAAACGAATCAAGGAGATGTAAGAGAGCACCAAAGATAAATAAACTTTCAAGTAAGAAGCCTAGCTTAAAGATATTGTCTGCTTTTTAAGTACATGTATATAATCATGGTACAGCTGTCATATTCAACCAGCAATGTTTATTTTTTTTCATGTTCTTTCCACGCTCAATAACATTTTAAGATGTAAGTCATTTTTATTGACTTTTGCAGCACATATTGAAATAACCCCGGAACATCTTATTGAATGTTTACCTATATTCCTTACATTTATTAACAGCCGTTTCATTCATGACTAAATGTTAAGATTAAAAGAACAGACTATGGATATGTGTATTAAATTAATTAGCTCCGTCGATCGTTGTACCCAGTGCTTTTCTTTTCCTTTGTTTAACTAACTAACTAAAGGAATTCATAATAAATATTACCGTTGATTAAGATACAATTTGACATCAAAATTCTTCGTATGAACTAGAATTTATCTCTCTCTCTCTCTCTCTCTCTCTCTCTCTCTCTCTCATTTTTGTAATGATTACGAATGGAATATAATTGCATTCCTAACATTACAGAAGATAAATATACATAGTGGCTCATGTGGGATCGATTTAATGGTCTATATGATGTGTTAAATCACAAACAGAATCCTTAATTAAATTGGTAGAACAGTATAAAAAATAATTATAATTATTATCAACATCATTTTTTTTTAATCAGACAGAAAATTAGAAAAAAAAAGTAATTAATCATTTTTCCCCATTTGATAAAATAATATGAAGAAGGGAGAAAGAGAAAGGGTAAAGTGAACAAACAGCACTCACATCTTTACGATGAAGCTTTCTCTATCCATAAACAAAAAATGAAGATGTCAAAATAAATAATCCTGTCCTTATTCTTTTTAAGTTTTATTTATTTATTTTTTTAATTATTTTATCTAGGAATTTCTTGATTTCTCATCATTGCAAAATGAAAATGCGGATGAATAAACACCTTACGGTTTATTAAATTTCTTTTACAGTCACAAAATACTTATCTTTTCATGTGATGTGGGCCCTATTGGATATGTTACATTTCTTCTGTAGAAATCAAGGACATGAACTATTTCAGGTGTATGACTGTTAAGCAATGAATATTTTAGAGGAAAAAAAAAATTCTAGATAAGAAATATGTCTCAAGAAATATAAAGTCATTTTTCTGCTATGTAACCGTTCGTATGTTAGTTTGGGAGAGTGAATAATTTGATATTTTAATCAGTAAAAAAAAAATCATATCATACTCGTTTTCTTTGAAATAGATTATATGCAGAACAAATCTCAATGACAATAAATCATTGCCCACATTTGGTCCCTTATCATCGGAGCAATATTCAATTCAGTTGTAATGCTTTGAAATGGAGTACTCAACATGATGTTTGTCTCAATTCCAATATTGATTTTCATGCAACATATATGTCTACAAAGGTCATTTGAAGGTTTTCTACATTTTTTTCATATTTTATATGTTTGTGCTATTTTAGACACTTTTTCCCTCAGAAAAGTAAAGAGAGATTGTCTATTTATTTTCATACAGTGTATTCGCTATATTATAAAGAGCTTGCAGTTTGTGTTTCCTGAAACAAAAACTAACCTTAAATTGACGACTTAAGTAAAAGAAAATGAATGAATTCCAATTCTTCAAGTGACCATTATAAACACTTTCCAATTAAATCAATACTCCTTAATTTTCTTAAGTAGTAAATTAGAAACTTTTGGATTGTTGTAATTTAATGTCATTGGAATAGGGTGTCAAGTTTGACCTTTGCCTTGTTCTATATTTTTTTTTATCCTCCCTGATCGAATTTGATTTTTTTTGTTCGTTGAATAAAAGGAATTACAGACACAATTATTATTTTTATTAGAAACTAATTATACTGTTCTACTAAAGATGAGTTTTGAAATGAACTCATTAATTTTTCGCCGCCAAACATAATTTACAAACTTCAAAATTTACAAAATTCAGGGCATATTAATAAATTCTTCTCTTTGTTCACGTAATTTTGCCGAAGTTTTGATATTTCAAGACGGTGATGTTGTTACAAGTCAATAATTCCTCTTGGTGCATGTTTCTACTCATGCTAGGTGGTAGGTTTTTTTAACGTTTGAACTGACGCAGTCCGTAGTCAATTTTGCATCAAATGTCTAAGCAATGCAATAATAAATCAAATGCCTAATATCTGAGCTCATGGAATACTAACCATCTTCTGATTGCTCTGTAATTTGTCGGCATAATCTCATCAGACCTGCTAATCCCTGTTCTGGGAAATACATTCAATTTACTCATTTTAATTTCAATGTCAAAAACTCCTTGTGGAAGGAGAATTAATTTTCCTAGAGTTGAGATAAATGATACGAAAATAAAATTATCGAGAACTACAAATTCAAAGCAACGAAAGATTTTGTAAAGATTGTCATTATTCTCTTGCAAGTTTGAAAGACGAAAGCTACCATATAATGCTAGTTTGTATATTTTTAAATTTTGTGAATCATAATAATGCTAAATCCTAAAAAAGGATAAACTATATTTCTGTAAAAGTATCAAAAAGATTTTGAAAGCCATCGCCGAGAACATTTGCGGATAAAATTGTAGGGGAACGTCGCAAAAATGGTCAACTGACAGCATCTTTTCTTAAAAAAATATTCTTGAACTTATCTCTGTTCATCCTATTCCGATTGAACTGCTAAGAGTACTTTGGCAAGACTCAGAACCAATCCTTTATAGCTAAAAAAAAAAGATTAACTGACAATTAATGGCTAAATTTGTCTGTTTCCATGACAACTGTGGGAATTTGAATGTTCTGAATGTTAACTGCACAACGACCGTTAGTGATCATCATTTCTATAAAGTTACAACAAGGTTGTCACAGCTTTCTGCAAGAACATTGACGGACAAAATCATTAAAATTTGTAGCTATATTGATCACGTGATGACAATTTTTCTTAAATAATCGTTTTTTCCGTTCATTTTTTTTAAATCATTTTTTTGTTTGTAGCAAATACTTTACCAGAATAAAGCTAACAACACTTTAAAGTTTCAAAAAGATTTGACTGGCAAGTTACTGAGAAAATTGAAATAAAAAATTCTAACGTTTACTGTTTCCATGGCAACGGTGGTCATTTGAATTTTTTTTTTAAAAAAAAAAAGGTGATTGTAGAACTACAATTTTTTGAAGTTATATCAAGTTTGCAATTCCGAAATTTCAAGAAGGTGATGTTGCTACGAGTCAAACCGCAATAATTCCTTTTGGTGTGTGTTTCCACTCAAGCTAGTTGGTTTGAACTGACGCAGCAGTCTGTAGTCAATTTTGCATCAAATGTCTAAGCAATGCTATAATGAATCAAATGCCTAATATCTGAGCTCATGGAATACTAATCATCTTCTGATTGCTCTGTAATTTGCCGGTATAATCTGATCAGACCTGCTAATTCCTCTTCTGGGAAATACTTTCAATTCATTCATTTTAATTTCAATGAATAAAAAAACTCCTTGTGGAAGGAGAATTAATTTCCTAGAGTTGAGGTAAATGATACGAAAATATTATTATCAAGAACTGCAAATTCAAAGCAACGAAAGATTTTGTAAAGATTGTCATTGTTCTCATGTTTTCAAGACGAAGACGACCAGTTAATGCTAGTTTGTTTATTTTTCAATAGAACAAAATTTCTGTAAAGTGTCAAAGATTTTGAAAGCCATCGCCGAGAACATTCGCGGACAAAATTATAGGTGGATAGTATCTTTTCTTAAAAATTATTCATTCTCTCTGATTATCCTATTCCAATTGTATTGCTAAGAGTACTTTGGCAGGACTCAAAACCAACCCTTTTTAAAAAGTTTTAAAGATTAACTGGCCATTAATGGCGATAAAATGAAATTAAAGTGTAATCAATTTTTGTCTGTGTCCATGACAACGGTGGGTATTTTGAAAGTTCTGGATGTTGACTGCACAACTACAGTTAGTGATCATCACTTCTGTAAAGTTTCAACAAGGTTGTCCCAGCTTCTGCGAGAACATTGACTGGCAAAATGATTTACAATTTGTCGATAAAATAACTCTTTAAAGTTTCAAAAAGATGCGACAAGCAAGTTACTGAGAAAAATGAAATTAAAATCTCTTATTTTTTCTGTTTCCATGGCAACAGTGGTCATTTTGAAATTTAGAAAAAAAAATTTTGATTGCACTTCATTTTTTTTTTTTTTTTTTTTTTGCGTTACATCAAGTTAAAAGTCAAAAGTCAGTGATAATATGTCGCCCGGACTACGTTCGAGGTGACAT